TCTCAATATTTACTCGAAGAAGATAAATACATCGAGAATAATTTCAAGCTTCTTAAATATCCTGATTATTTTATGTTAAATGCGAAACAAAAGGCTCATAAAATATTCCAAAATAGAAAAAAAAAATGACCCCTCCGGAGAAACCCAGTAAAGAAAAAATATATTGTCCTACCAACTAACTCTATCACAACAACAATTGAAAATAACTTATCTAAACTTAACATAAAATTTGTTACTATTGCATCTAAAATAATAACGGACTTAGTTAATACTAAACAAAACAATAGGCTAATACTTGAAAGAGAAAATTACTTTGTCGACTGTAATAATTGTAAAAAAAAAAAAAAAAAAGATAAATAGGTAGGAGAAATTTTAAAAAATCTAAATAAATAATTATATGAACATAAAAGAGACATCTTATAAAACAATATGTTAAATGCATTATTTGCTCAACGCAACGAGACTCGCCACAATTTTGACACAAAAATGCTACTCTAATCAAAGGAGAAAAACAATTCACTAAGATAAAAATGTCCGTAGTGCCTTGATCGTAAGCTCATGACCAGTAAATTTGCGCCCTGGACCTTACAACAACTCAACATTCTCAGCAGATTTCTATCGTCACAGTGTAGGGTATCTAATAACAAAAGTGATGGAAACAAAAAGAAAAAGAATCTAAATTAAATCGGCTAGTTTATATATAAAGAAAAGAAAAAAAATATTCCCAGCATCCCTCGTTCGTGCTCATATATAGTCGCATCAGCGTAACAAATTTAATCCGATGAAGTCCCAAAGGATGAAACGCTTTACACAAAGCTTTTTCCACTTTGCCATACATTTTTCCACCATATATATATACACGATACATTTGTCATTGCCATATTTTCCGCAAACAATGGCCTATGTCCCGGTTTATCGTGACATGAAAAAATAACTCACTCACCTCCAGCCTCTGACCTTACATTTCTATTTAGCGTAGATCTGACATTTAATTGGTTAATCAAGACATACCCAAATTTTAATTCTGACTTTATGTCCTCCTCACCTTTAACTTTCAGAAAAGAGGTAACACTTTGTTTTTAAATTACCTTAAAAATCATTTAATCACCAGTTACTTACTATCACCTGAAGAAGTACAATCATAGTATTGAAACATGAAATCTTTTGTGTAGCGATTATAATATGTTTTTATTATAATATCTTATAATAAACATATAATAATAATTTTGAATTATCCAAATCGTGTAACAGCATAATTGTCCATCACGCAAAATGTTTAATATTTAAAAAAAAAACAAACTAGTCAGTTACTTTTTTCCAGGTTTTCAATTAAGTCGTTTAGCCATCTTGACATCATTTGTCGTAAGAACCACTGAAAAACCATTTGAGTTAATCAGCTAGAAAGAGAACAGGTTAAAATCGTTTTGTGTCAGCCCCACTGTCTTCTTAACTGAACAATGGCGAGAAGAAAAAGATCATTCAGTCCTTCAGTAATGGTACCAACATTCATACTCTGGCTTCCATCTTCAAAGTCCATTCAAGAAGCATCAAGAGAACGGTGAATGTTTAAAAAATGGGACAGAGAGGAAAACTGGATCAGGATTTGACAACAGGAAGAGGGATCCTCATTTCAACTTAGAGCTAAAGATATCAATTAGAAAAGATCCAACTCAATCTATAAGACGTTTGACACGCGAGAGAGAGGAGTTTCAGCTATGACAGTCCAAAGAGCAGTGAAAAAAGACTTGAAAATAAAATCGTACATGAAATCTCTGGGGCACCTTCTTACTCCAGGACAGAATGTTAGAAGGTTACCAGGTGAAGATCATATTGAATAAGTTGGAAAATGATCCTAGAATAATATATATATATATATATATATATATATATATATATATATATATATATATATGAACATTGTTTCAATCTTCATGAGCTTCCGATCCTTAACTATGAATAATTAATGATGAAAATGTCATTTTCGTTTATGAACGAATTCATCACGATTCTTCTGTTAAGCTTGGAGAGTAATTATACATTCTTATTGCTCAAAATAGAGTCCAATAGTGTTATAAAAACCTCGGAAAATTCCAGTAAGATATCTTTAATCACTTCTAAAATAGAATGGTTCAAAACTTGATATAACAATTAGACAATTTTACTGTTACACAATTTGGACAATTTCGATGTTACTCCCAGTATATAATCTTTAGCATTCGCTGTGAACCTTATTCTTCGATAGAGTTCTGAAAAAAAGTAAAAAATGGTAACTTGTTAGATTTCTTTCCATTTGTCCCTTTACAGCTGTAATATATTTGTTTTTGGTCTGAATTTTTCTTCTACTATTAACCTTTGTTACTGTAATAACATTTTCTATCCACCCCACCCCTCGAGATAAATACGAAAATATAATTTATGATAAGTTGATTTCTGTTTTTTTTTAAACTATTATAATCATGTACATAAATTATCATGAATTGCTCACTAAGTCTGTATGTGTTAATAATTTCCAGAAGATTTACAATCGACAGAGAAGGACTTCATAGATCAAGCATTTAGCAAGCTCAATATGAACTCGATACAAAGTTCATCACCAGAGACAGGAGAATTACCGCAGACAGCAGAAGCCCCGTCAACGTCCATGTCGTCCCAAGTAACTAGTGAGCAATCAGTTGCTCCTCAGTCAGTCACTCTTGCAAGGGAGACAACCGTGTTACTGAATCAAGATACTACTGAAAATATGAAACGTGAGTCCCACTTCACATTATCTATCTATCTATCTATCTATCTATCTATCTATCTATCTATCTATCTATCTATCTATCACAGTATGTTCATTATCTATCTATCTATCTATCTATCTATCTATCTATCTATCTATCTATCTATCTATCTATCTAAGTCTGTTCATACATATAAATTTGTTTTATCTATCTAGTTCAGTTCACATGCTATTCTTATCTATGTATGTATGGAGCCAAATATTTTTGAAGCAGCCATAGGTCTTACAATGGAATTTTGACATGATCATAATCTATCTATCTATCTATCTATCTATCTATCTATTCATACAGGTGCGATGGATAAATTGGCACCATGTTGTATTTTTAATTTCGCGCATGCGCGTTGTTTAGTTTTTGATTTTGTCGACTGCACAGTATAGTATGCTTAGTTGGGCACCGTCTGTAAGAAAAAGAGCACCATGGCGCAATTCATTCCGCCAGAAATTTAGAAACAGCAAGCTGTACTGCTTGGCATTCGCGCCGGAAGCTCTAATACGAACATTTCAGAGTGTTTGGGTGTCAATCTGAGGATAGCGCTCAAGATTTGGAAATTTTTGGATGTATCTAATGGTGATTACGAAGGTACGACAGCTCAGAAACCAGTCTGATCGTTCTGATATGAAAGGAACTTCCGAATTTGTTGCTGAGGGCCTCAGACTCAACACGGAGGCCTACACCAAGTGCCTTGGGGAGGTAGTGCTACCCTGGGTCAAGAGGGGGGCTTCTGGAAGGCACTATGTCTGGCAACAGTACACTGCACTATGCCAGACAAGTATGAGAACCCAGTCATGGCTGTCAAACAATTTCTGCGACCACATCACCCCCTTACATCTGGCCACCTAACTCCCGAGATTCCACCCCCCTTGATTATTATGTGCGGGTTGCAGTTGAGCGAGAGACCAACAAAACTCCTTGTAATACCAAAAATGAGCTGAAGGCATGGATTATGGCAGCATTCACCAACTTAAATAAGAAAACCGTCCAGGAGAGTTGCAGGAGATTCCGAAGTCGTCTGAAGACCGTCGTTGAAGCCAATGGCGATTTTATTGAATATTTTTACTCTTTGGTATTTCAGGGCATTTTTGTGTAATTTTGGTAAATATATCTGTTAAAATGAGATGTCACTGTTATTTTCATTTTTGTGTAATTTAAACGACAATTTATCCCTCGCTCCCTGTACACACACACACACACACACACACACACACACACACACACACACACACACACACACACACATATGTATATATTTCATTCTTTTCACACAATATTCATATGTATATATGTAAACACACCCATTACAAATTCGTTTTCTAAGGTTTATCAACCTTTGTAGGTTATTTAAAGTCAAGAAATATTTTTAGATTGTATGAATTTTTTTTTGTTTTTTGTAGATAATAATGATTTTAGTGATACAAGTCTTACTAATTAACCCATAGCTGGGGAGAAGATGTGGATTCATACTTTTCTCAAGCATAATATGCGCTTAAGGTAATATAACGAACCCAACAGGAATTGGAACTCGGTTATCCGATTAACAATTCTGAACTATTATCCATTACACCACCCGCACATCCAACTTTACATTACCTGATAATGCCAAGTGGTCATCCATGCTCAACGTTACTTAACTTCGATGATCGTACGGAAATAGGTGTTTTTTGACGGTTGAACGTCAAAAACGACATTATTTTTTAGACATATAATAATTGACCGATTGATTTTTTCTGTTTATGGCTTATCAATCTTTTGCAGGTTATTTAAAGCCAGAAATTTTTTTTTTAATTTTAAAGAATGGTCATGATTTACTAATACAGTTCCTATTATTTAACCTGTATCCGAGTGAGTGGGGAGAGGGGCGTTCGTACCTTTCCCAAGAGTATTTGCGAGCATGTGAATATAGAGAATCAGACTGGAATTGGAACTCGGCTCTCCGATTTTCAATACCGATATAGATAGATAGATGGATTGAATATATTGAGATAGATATTGAACAGATTGCGATAGATAGATAGATAGATAGATAATGAACAGATTGAGATAGATACATGGATAGATATTGAACATAGATAAAGCACGGATTAAGATAGATATTGAACAGATTGAGGTAGATAGATAGATAGATGGATAGATAGATAGATAGGTAATGCGCGGATTAAGATAGATAGATAGATAGATATTAATGTTATCTATTACACCACTCGTACATTCACGTTCACATCACCTACTTTTTCCAAAGGGTCACCCAACTTGATAGTGACCAGGCTCAACGTTGCTTAACTTCGGTGATCGGACGAGGACCAGTATTTCAACGTAATGTGGCTGTAAGCCCGTCATATGTAAGTGGCACCTAGTGAGAATCAGACTCACCTGCAGTAGTAATATTCTACGGGTATAGTTTGTTGAACCATTGGGTGGAGTCATTAGTTATAGGGTGACACAAGACGTAAAATTTGTGGTAAGTCTAATAAAGACAGCAATTACGATTATCGTTCATTTGACAAAACAGGGCTGTTTTTAAACATCATTTCAGATAATGTAACGTCTGTTTTATTAGTGATAAGGAAATTATATATAAATTTAAAAGGAATTGTTCGCCGTATATATATATATATATGATAGAAATTAGGAGGATTTGAGATAATTATAATTAAGTAATTCATCGAGTCTAGAAACCTCAACAGAATGCAGAAAGCACTGGACGGCCGTTCTGCCCGATATTTGGGACTCATCAGCAGTGCGCATCCACTACCGAGAATTGAAACATGGACATTTACGTTATCAGGTAAACGTCATATCAACTGTACCAACAAGCCTCGATGACGAATCGGACTCGATATAGCGCCGCTCGATCACATATTCCGTGGTGGAACTCCTCCGAGTTTCTCTTTTACCCATAGGACTGTACCTCCACGAGCCACGACTACTATCACCAAGCCGCTCCATCCAGGGCTTTAGAAGACGGTTCAACCAAGGATATACAAGTGATAGATATATATATATATATATATATATATATATATATATATATATATATATATATATATATATATAAATACACGTAGACCTACGTTTGCAGTTTCATGGTTGCCCAGTTCATCAGACACAAACAGTCAATGAAATATTTAATACGTTGTATCCGATGAATTTTGTAACCATGAAACTCTGAGTTGCCCTACAATTGTATATGTGTATTTATTAATATATACTTTATATCTCAGTTTAACTACATTGAGCGCTGTTTTGCTTGCACCTTAAATTAAATATTTATTTGGTCATCTGCATATCTACGTTATCACACGCATATATAGTTGCTAATATCTCGTTATTTTATGTTCACATTCTATCATATATATCTATTATCTAATATCTATCTATTATTTTATGTTCCTATCTGTCTATCTATCTATCTATCTATCTATCTATCTATCTATCTATCTATCTATCTATCTATCTATCGTCATACACAGACAGACTGATTCGCTGTATCACAGGTCCTCAGTGTTGCTAGACATCCGATCGCTTCAAGCCGGGACCGAAACCCGACTGATTTAGCATCAGTCGGAGATTCTAGGCTATCGACGCACGACAGAGAGAAAGGCTAATTTTTACGTATTTATTTTTTTCATAAACACGCCAGTGACCCAGAGAACTCAACCCAGTTTGGATTATCAGCAGTAATAGTGACTGTTTACAAATTCGCACTTGTCTCCCCACAGTGCTCGACCGATTTAATTATTTTTTCGGGAGCTACAAGGTGTCCATAAAATCTCTTTACAATTAAAAAAAAAAAAATTACAAGAGCAAATGAACAGACAAATATGTGGAAATTGTTACAAAACGAGGAGTAGACACTGAAATTTTTAAAAACTAATTTAATACTCCTCTATATGGGCACCATTAGTTGCATGAAGCACATCTAGATGGTACTCGATTTCTTGCCATGTTGGCTGTTGCATAGCATCATCAATGGTGGCAATGGCATCAGTAATCTTTTACTTTAGATCAGTGATGTCCCGTATCTTTGTTCGATACACGATCTGTAATATAACCCCGTAGAAAGAAGTCTGGAGGAGTGATATCTGGTGAACGAGGTGGCCAGGGAATTGGGCCATTTTCCCAATCCATCGGTCTGGAAATGTTAGGGGTTCATTTAACAGTATCTCTTTCATCAACAGTATACTTGAATTGCACAAATGCAATGCGATTAAAAACTTTGATAATTACTGAGTACATAGAACAAATCTGATTAAGATATCTCCTCAATTGACTTTGCAATATATTTTTAAATTGTAAAGAGACTTTATGGACATCCTGTATATTAATAAATATACACGCTGTATATAAATTTATGTACACAATGTATATAAATTTAAAAGGGATTGCTCGCTGTATGTATGTGTACATACGTATTTTTTATTATTATTTTTAGAAGGTTTTCGACCGACAGAGAATAGTTTCAGTGACCATACAGTCGATACACTCATCGTGAACTCTCCACAACCTTTAGCACCACAAACAGGGGACCCAGCAGCGGCACTGCCAACATTCATATCGTCCCACATAACCAGTGAACAATCAACGACTTTTCGGCCATTTGCTCTTGAAAGGGAGACAACCGTGTCACTGAATAAAGATAGTACTGGAAATATGCGTGAGTTCCATTTTTATTTTCTTTTATACAGCGAGGTCCACCTTTACAAGGCCCGAGGGCAACCCGAGGTAGACCATTGCGTTTAGAGGCTATTTTTGTGTATAGAAGTAGAAGGTAACGGTTAACCCTAGCCTTGAACAGGTTAAGATTGTAAGTGATCGGGGGAAACACCCAGTTGGGAGTCGGTTCCACAGGGAAGTGGTTCGCGGGAAGAAGCTGCTCGAGGGGAACTTACTTCTCACCGACGGAATATGGAGGGAGTGTGGGTGGTTTGCTACTATGTAAGTGGCATGGCGGGTTCTTGCTGTGAAGTTTTAACCTCGGCATGACCAGGGAACGTAGTTTGTCCGAGCACTTTCCGTGGAAGTAGCGTTAGAGCAGCGAGAGCCTTACTCCACCCCGCCTATGGGAGAGAGGTTGGAGGGAGGAGAATAATTCGTCACCCACATCGATCTGTTTTAAGAAATTAATAGATTTTTAAAATTCGACATTATTTCTTATTAATAGGAACATTATATTTAGTTGGTACACGTGTTTGAGTAAAAATCATTGATTTTTTTTTTCTCAAAATTTTGAGAAATATTTATAGATGATAAATTCATTTCGAATAACAATCCTGTTCAAAGGTCCATTGATTTTTGATTAAAAAAAGGTGTGCATATAATGTTGTGATGTATTGGGGCTCAGATTGAGGAATCGGAGAGCCGTATTCGAATTCCACTCAAGTTCATTACATTTATTTAAGTGCTAGTACCCTTGGGAAATGTATGAATTTAACTCTTTCCCCCAGCTATGGGTAAATAGCATGACAGACTATAGCCTTGGATGCAACGATATCTTAGCCAACTCGTTTCGATCTCAGATGGGCTTTATCAAGGCAAATGTAAGGTATTCATAAACAGAAGTAATATATATATATATATATATATATATATATATATGGTTGTCTAGTCGCACTGATGAGCTGTGATAGAGCGAAACAGGCCTGTATGTGAATGGCATTATATATACAGTAGCGACCATAATATAAGGAACAGAAACAACAAAGACATAAATATGTGTATAACTTAAAAAGTAATGCATGATTAGCAATGAAATTTTTACCAAATAAAGATTAGGGTGTAATGCATAAATATTATACAAAGTTACAAATTTTACATAATAGTTTTTTTTAAAATAAAGATTAAATGGAACAAAGGAAATAAGCCGCTGGACAAAAGTTAAGAAACAACCTTGTTAAGACTTGATTGTGAATAAAATATCAACAAAATTTAATATTTGATAAACATCCCCTTATTTTCAATGACTTCTCTGCATCGTCGACCACATGATCTAATTAATTTCTTGCAAAAATCAGCAGTAATTCCCTCCCATTCGTCTTTCAATAACTCCCATAGGTGATTCTATATTTATGTCTTTGTTGTTTCCTCTCCTTATATTATGGCCGCTACTATATATATATATATATAATGTCATTTGCATACAGGCCGGTTTCGCTGCATCATGGCTCATCAGTGCGACTAGACAACAGAACGTTTCAAGCCAGGATCGAAACCCGACCGATTTGGTATCAGTCGGAGTTTCTATCTCTAAGCCATCGGCGCTTCAGCAGAGAGGAAGACGAATTCTAGCGTATTGTTTTTACGAATGTAAACAAACGCCAGACAGCCATTAATAAAGAGCGATGCGTTAGCGCTGACAGCTGCTGTTTATGGAATTCACCCATCTCTCAACAGTGCCCAACCGAAAGATTTTCAAGCGCTTTGCAGCAATATCTTTGCATGAACTTAGTAACAGTAAATAAATAGCCACTTGAAAGTATGTCTTTAAGACAAGTCTGTTTTCATGAGACGGAAATGAAGAACCGCTTTCTCTGTGACGCGTTTCATCCCGAAAATTTTTTTTCCAATTTGTCATTACTATTTTTCTAAATACTGTTTGTTGATATATGCCAAATATTTGTTGATTATACCAAATTATATAACGTTTATCATATATATATATATATATATATATATATATATATATATATATATATATATAATGAATACAAATCCTAAAAATCCATCAGGTCAGGTGATAATTTATTTAATGGATTTTATGTCCATTTCTTCAGACCAGATGACATTAAGAAATGGATTTCAATTTATCCAACCAGTTTCTCTCTCTCTCTCTCTTTTAAAGTATTGGAATTTAAAGGAGAAAAAAAACAACACTCCCACTGTTAAATGGAAGTTAATTAGAAGAACTCGTACCTGTAATTCTTTATATGCACCATGTTACCTCAGTCTCAATGAAAAGATAGAAATCATTAAATTTAAGGATAAGATAAACCTGTTAAATCAAAGGAAGGAGCTCACTGTTAATTGCAGACATAAATTATCCCTTAACCTTGCTTTCTAGCTAGATAGAATATTGTATGTAAAGACTAGCAGCATGGCCCGGCGTTGCCTGTGCTTAATTCAAAAATCGTACGACTCATACAGCAATCGCTATCACTTGACTTAAAATATTTTTGCCCTTCCCTGCCTTTAAAGGAGTGCCCTTTGTCGTGCTGATGTTGCTACATGCCTTACTTCTTGCCTATCTTACACTGCGAATTTTTTCTAAGCTCTATACTAAACATTAAATCTGTTACGAAAAAAGAACTAAACAAAATGAACACAAAACGATCAGCTTTAAAAAAGGACTCGTAACTGGAAAAACCGAATGAAAAAAGAATGTTAACAACAAATACTTTCTCACACCCAACCCAGTTCTGCAGAATCAGAATCAACATTGAGTTTAAGCAAGCGAATGAGCCAATTGGAGTAAAGTGCCATGCAGATTTAAATTTTTCCCACTTGTGACGAATGCAGCTATCGATTTTTTTGCATGCTAGCATGCTAGTTAACATTCATGTCAGTCAGCTGTTGGCTCTCACGCTGACCAATAGAATCTTCCTGCCTATTCGTGGCAGCCAGCTATTAGCTTTCACTCTGGCCAGTACAAAATGGCTGCAAACTACATGAAAACTGCCGTAGAAGCATGAAAAAATCGATTATTTCCACTATCAATGGGAGTTGGGAAATGCAAAGTCGGTCTTGGCCTTCCCACTAACTTGGAGCATGTGCATGTAAATTTTGGTGCAAATCCGTCGAAAATTGCGGCTGTGCATTCGTTACACACACACACACACACACACACACATATTGCCTTTTATAGATAGAGATGAAATGGTATTGTAGGTCTGTAAAATTTTTTTTGTTTTTTTTTGCCCTTAAACTTTAAATTATTATCTGTCTTTATTTGCTAAGATTTTAATATAAAGTGGATTATTTAGTTAATATTGAATAGTTGAATTATTGAATTAATCTTAAATATCTGTTACTGAATTAATCTTAACTAAACTCTGAATTTAATATGGCTATTTTGGTAAGGATGCTTGTACATGAGTATATTTGTTTCTACTCCTGTTCTATGTTAATGTTTTACAAATTCAGAAAGGATCTTTCAGTAAATGCCCTTCAGTTTTAGTTTCCCCCGATCCATCTCTCTCTCCCAACATTTTTTCTTTTCTTTTTCTCTCCCTCCCTCTTCTGATCTTTAAGATTAAATCGTCTATTGTGTGTGTATGCCACCACAAAATGTATCCTTTCCGGTTACTTTAATGTATTAGACATCCGACAACATTCATAGTTCTCTCACTTAAACCGTCTTTGACTCACCTCTCTAAAACTTCTCTCTGTTAAGTTTTAATCTCCCACCTTCTCTCGTCTGTTACCCCTCTCTTTAGCTCTAACATTCGTCCCACACTCTCATACTTACACTCTCTCTAAATTCTATTTTTTATTTCCGGAGTTGTTTTTTCTGTTTTTCTTTTTGAATTTGTAGGTCTGATGAATTGGATCGTATTTATGATTCCAATGGAATAAATTATGACCATGGAATATTAGTGTTCAAGCCTTATTATATATATATATATATATATATATATATATATATATATATATTGAAGAAAAACAGACCACTTTAAGGTACTATTATGATAATTTATTTCACCAGAGCACTTTTAAAGGACGCCGGATCATCAGATAGCACTTCCAAAGATGAAATGAAACGAAAAAAAAAATCTTTATATATATATATATATATATATATATATATATATATAGATGAAAATCACTCCCCAACAAGAATGGCCAAGTTGGAAGGGCGAAATGACCATTCTTGTGGTGGAGTGATTTTCATCTATCTTAATTCATATATGCTCTGCAAATAATACATTGGGCTCTTTTCTGTGAATCAGTTTAATATTTTATTACTTTTAGGATTACTTATATTACCAAGGATTTTTTTTATATATATATATATATATATATATATATATATGTGTGTGTCTGTGTATACTTGTATCTTTTTATTTTCAGAAGGTTTTTGACCGTTAGAGAGCCGTTTCAGAGCACAAACGCTTAATACGAACTCTCCACAAAGTTTATATCACATGCAGGAGAATCAACAATTATATAAATTTATAAGGAATTGTTCACTATGTATATGTATGTATATTTATTATTTCCAGAGGATGTACGACCGACAGAGAAAGGGTTCAATGATCAAGTAGTCGGTGAGCTCAGTACAAACGTTTCCACACAGTTTAGCATTTCATGCAGGAGAATCTTTTTTTATTTATCAACATTGGACTCATCCCATATGACCAGTGAACAGTCGTTTACTCCTCAGCCATTTGATCTTGGAAGAGAGACAACCGTGGATCTAAAACTGTAGCACTGAAAATATGAAACGTGAGTCTATCTATCTATCTATCTATCTATCTATCTATCTATCTATCTATCTATCTTTTTTTTTTCTCGGTTTGTCCATTTGCTATCTATCTATCTATCATTTTCTTTCTTCCTTCCTTTTTTCTCGGTTTATCCATTTGCCCATCTATCTATCTATCTATCTATCTATCTATCTATCTTATTCACCATCTATCTATCTATATCATTTTCTTTCTTCCTTTCTTTTTTTCTCGGTTTGTCCATCTATCTATCTATCTATCTATCTATCTATCTATCTATCATTTTCTTTCTTCCTTTCTTTTTTTCTCGGTTTGTCCATGTATCTATCTATCTATCTATCTATCTATCATTTTCTTTCTTTCTTTCTTTCTTTCTTTCTTTCTTTCTTTCTTTCTTTCTCGGTTCGTCCATTTGCTATTCATCTATCTATCTATCTATCTATCTATCTATCTATATATCTATCTTACTGCGAAACTAGTTTGGTTGCTTAACTTCGGTGATCGTACGAAGCCAATGGGAAGCATCAAAGTTCTTCCTGGTAGTAAAAGTCTAGGAGAATAGCTCGTTAGACAACGACGAGTTGTTCTTATCTGAGTAAAGCAAAAGGCCAAAGTTTCGTGCAGCTGCTGAAGACTGGAACTAAAATTCACTTTCATAAGTATATTGATAAATCCGTGGCGTCAATAACAAGAAGTGTTCTTTTAAAAAGTATAATTTGAGATCATTTCTTTTGCGTTTCTTATCCATTGTAAACATATTGTTGGATGTGCGCGAAAAAGCGAAACAGTCCTCGTAGAAAGTAGTACCCGAATCGAGTTCAAACTCCGGTTAATGTTGTTGGGTTTACGTTCGCACAAGTTCCCTTGGGTTTTTGACCAACCCTCCTCCTTCCAGTTAGGGTTGCCTGGATTCTCTAACTTATAGTGGCAACCATGTCTAAGAAAAGAAAAACGTATTTCCAAAATTCCGTGGAGAATTTATCTTTCCCTAGGAGTCATGACAATTTTGGAGATCCGTGATCGAATGCACCATGAATTCAAAACAATACGGAAACCATCCACTATCTTTCTGAAAATGTCATGGCAATTTGCAGATAACAAAGAAAAGGAGTGTGTGGAGAGCCGTGAACGCATACACCCTAAAGAGAAAAGGAAAACTTAATAGAAAACCATAGAGAAAGCAACACGATTCACTTCATTGTCTCTCCCAAGAACGCACTGCAATTCACAGATAATAAAAAAAAGATATGTGTGGAGAGCCAAGATCGCATACGCCCTAAAGGGAGAAGGAGAATTGAATAATAAAAAATGGAGAAAGCAACAGAAAGCCACTCCATTATCTTTTCCTAGAGGTCATGGCAATTTATAGATAAAGGAAAAGAATCTATGAAAAAGACAAGGGGAAACTACTCCACTATCTTTCCCAAGAAGTCTTGACAATTCAGAGATAGTAAAGAAAAAGGAATTTATGAAGAAGGCAACGGGAAACCACCCTATGATCTTCTCCAAGAAGTATAAAGGAAACTGTGGAGAGTCATGATCGTGTACATCCTAAAGGGAGAAAGACAACTGCATTCCAAACCATGAATATTACAACGGGAAACCACTTTCCTATCTTTCTCAAGAACTCATGACAATTCACAGATAATAAAGAAACATAATTTACGGAGATCCTTGATCGGTTACGTTCTGAAGGTACGTGGAATTAAGAAAAGCATATTATATATAAATTTAAAAAGGAATTGTTCACTATATATATGTATATATATATATATTTATTATTTCCAGAGGATGTACGACTGACAGAGAAAGAGCTCAGGGATCAAGTAGTCGGTGTACTCAGTATAAACTATCCACACAGTTTAGCACCTCCTGCAGGAGAATCAACACCTATGGAAGAGGTAGTATCAACATTGGACTCATCCCATATGACCAGTGAACAGTCGTTTACTCCTCAGCCATTTGATCTTGGAAGGAGACAACCGTGGCTCTGGGCAACAGTAGCACTGAAAATACGAAACGTGAGTCTAATATTCATCTATCTATCTATCTATCTATCATTTTATCGGTTAGTCCATTTCACATTCATCTATCTATCTATCTATCTATCTATCTATCTATCTTTTTCTTCTTTTCTTTTTTCTCGGTTTGTCCATTTGTTATCTATCTGTTATGGGATCTTACCCATAATAATAATAATGGACTATTCCATACGTGTAATATATACTGCGCTTTAGGAGTAGTTCAAGGGAGTCAGTAGTTCAAGTCGAGTCAAGAGTCGAGTCAGAGGCAGTCCGAAACAGAGTCGCGTTCAGACAATTACTACAAGAAATTGAAATAGTGATACTGGTCGAGACTACATTGTTCTCTCTACTAAACCTGATTGTTCATACTAACATTTCTGTATATATTCCTGTTTGTAATATATCTGTGTTATTCCATACCTGTGTTCCAGTTCTTCTTTATTGGTTCTACCTTGGACTGTCTATCTATCTATCTATCTATCTATCTATCTATCTATCTATCTATCTATCTATCTACGGAGACACTCTTGTGGCTGAAACATCATCAATTTTGTTATTCACTCCAATGATTACTGTGTAATTTCAAGTTAGCAAGCTGGTACTCTCTATTAATCACATCATTTAATAATATAGAGAAGATCTTACTCTATATTCCGTGTACATTCAAGACATAGGCGATCATGGCTCTCCACAACATCTTATTCTTTGTAGCTTTTAGCAAAGTCTGCCTCTGTGCCAAGTCCCTAACCTCCGTCTCGCTTTCCATTCACACAAGTTCATCAGATTTGAGCGGTGCTGTGAGTGCCAAATTCTCCAAGCCTCCCTTCCTCATAATGTGTCAGTTTTCTCTTTCTGATTCTGAGTATGTGTTCTTATAGTTACCATTTTTCTTGAAACCTCTTCGTTGTTTACGCGCTCCATCTGTGGTTTTCTCAGAAACACATTTCTGTTGTCTATTCAATGGAGAAAAAATATTCCTTGTTCTAAATAGAAAAACAGAAACAGTAAAATCGCCCGCAGCCACAAGGACGACTTCGGAGGCGACTTCAGGTAGTTCTCTTTAATTTTTACCCCTCAAGAAGAGGTGGGTCGTCAGGACATGGTCCTCGTTTCTCACAACCCCAAGAACCGTCACAGACGAATGGGTGACCACTTGGGAATACCAGGTACTGTAAACTTGAATGAGCGGATGGTGTAATGTATAACAGCCCGGAATTGTTAATCGGAGAACCGGCTTTCAATTCCAGTTGGCTTCTTTATATACACTTACGCGCAAATACCATAGGGAAACGTATGAATCCACCCTTTCTACCTCCAATTATGATTTAATTAGTAAGACTTGTATCCCTAAAATTATTATTATTATTGCTCCCATCTGTTGGGGAAATGTCATAAAATTACTAATAAAATTTAACTTTACTATAATTACACTTCTTATTTTCTGATAATGTCGCCTTTGAACAACCGTATTTGCAAAAATTGATACGTTTATACGCACATAACATAAATTCAATATTCTTTTTAAAATATTCGGGTCATTGAATTGTAGTAAGCTTTTCCATTTATGATAATTAAATACAGTGTTAATTTAATAACAATATCGCTTGACTATTAATCAATTATACGAAATTTTAAAAGTTTATAAATTATTCTAAATAAAATTTAAAAACAATGCAAACAATTCTTGTAAAAATTCATTATTTATCGAAAAAAGAATATTTAGTGTCCATAATATATATTTATACATAAAAGCTTTTCTAATTAAATGATGTCTTAGTTTTATTGCATTTTTTATTTGACGATTCAGAGCAGATTTTCTGTAACTGGGGGTTCTGTGTGACCAAAAGACATATGATGATTTAAATTCTCCGAGGACTTATAACTAATATTAATATAAAATTAAGCGATACAAAAAAGAATTTCTCGAAATTTCATGAAATTAAGTAAGTGGTTAAAAGATTTAAAAAAAAAATTCCAAGGATTTTCTAAAAACGAAACATTTAAAAAATGACATTCGTTTGTGAATATGTCCAGTAAGTTTAATCAAAATCCAACAATTATTTGATTTTTGCAAGAATTTCCAAATCTGTGTTTTGCACCGCAAATAGACGTTAAAATTTCCCAGACTAATCATCGTTGACATCAGGGAAACAATTTTTTTTTAATAAAAATTTCAAAGGTTCTAAAAAGGACAAAAATATAATTTTTACATAAGACGTTCTTTGATCATTCATCTTAACAATAACCAGGATTTTAACGATGGAACTTTGTTTTATTAAGCTTTGGGCACTTTCTTTTATTACGGTATGCTCTTTTTTCGCGAATCTTTGGTGGTATCTATCTATCTATCTATCTATCTATCTATATATATATGCATATATATATATATATATGTGTGTGTGATAAAATATAGTTTTAAGGTATGCTATATCTATGGGCTAAAGTGCTCAGGGATAGAGCGTATGTAAATATAAAAGTGGGTATTGAAATCCACATCCAGCGGTGGGTGTCCGTTCCATGCTTAAACGCGATCGTCAGGCCATCACGATTATATATATATATATATATATATATATATATATATATATATATATATATAGAGAGAGAGAGAGAGACTGATGCCAAATCGGTCGGGTTATATACTCGGCCTGAAGCGATCGAATATCTAGCCACATTGATGAGCTGTGATACAGCGAAATAGTTTGTCTGCGGATGACGATATATATATATATATATATATATATATATATATATATATATATATATATATTAAAACATACTATGTTAGGCAGCAATCAATCGTTTAGACATATTTTATTAAATAGAACGGACAAGGAATCTCTGTTTAGCCTTTTCGCAAATTTTTCCTTGCGTAGAACAATAGTTTGATGCTTTTCGTGGGAGAGAAACTTGTAAAGTAACTTGCCGAAATTGTGCGTAATGTTCCGTGTACTTTCGATCATCATCGTTCATTTTCAAGGAAAAAAAGTTAAATGTCGACAGTGTTGTGGCATACCTACGGACGATAATATGTATGTCCCCATTCACATAAATACAGTAATAAATACTGTATGTTGGTCTGCGGAGATTCGTCTCCAGGTGTGGTAGTCAAACTTTCTGCTCCCGGGCAGAGAGGATCCCCACAAGAGGCTATGTCGAAGGGCAGAGTTTCGTCTCGGGAAACAGCTATCTGACCTCATTTTTCTACGGGATCTACGGGGAATTTTTGGCCAATCCTACGGACACGGATACCCCACATTAAATTCGGCCTTGTGCCACATTTGACCGCGTGGGTCAGTTGGTAGATATCCCGCAATTGTAGATTCATTATGGAATTCACTTGACTCACTTCTATCAGTTGACTACTTCTACGCGCCGCTGGTGAATCTTATATGTGTTGTTCTTGTCCTAAGTATTATCGTTCATTACCAACCTTCGTGTGATTATCCTATTCAGTAACCTTCCCTCGGTTACAACAGACAGATAGGCGTATATAGAGTTTATGCTGTTAACGGCCTGGAATTTGAAATCTTATCGGCCAATCATCAGCTGAATTTCATTAGTGTTTTCCTTTTTTTTGCCTTGCCAAATTATAGGCCCGTGTTAGGAAATATATTCATTTTCTTCTTTTGGTTCTTCATAAAGCATTTTTACTCTTTGAAAGGTGTTTCTCCGTCAGACGTCACTGCTGCAAATTCTCGCGTCGACATCAAGGTTAGTGCGATAAAGTCAACATCAAACCCCAGCCCGACGACTATGGCAGACATAACTTCCAAGCCAATGGCCAGCACAACCACTGAATCAGCGATGACGACGACAACGACAATGGAAACCATGCCAACCACGCTCCCTGTGACTACAACAATAGCAAGAAAAACAACAACAACAACGTCTAAACCTACAACGCTAAAAACAACCAAAGATAAGTTAACGTTCGACTCGAAGCAAATGGTGCCAGTGTTATCTTCAAGACAACAAAACTCAGACGTTATAAAACAGAAGACGAAACTTTCCTTTTCCTCAAGAAATACACCACCTAAAACCGAGGCACCCGAAGTCGACCTTTGGGAATCAGTTCTTGGTGAAGTTCACCACGATTTTCTCGGCGATGTACCCACAACACGGAGATCCCCGTTTCTTGATCTAGCTGCTCGTAAACTACAAAAAAATCCAGGTTCAGCCGTCAAATCCGACACCGCTCATATATGGGAGCCCGGAAGTACAACATCGATGCATTGGGGAGCAAGACGAGAACAAAAATCGAAAACGTTAGTGCGAAATAAAAACAAACCTGAAAACCGTCCAATAATGTTAAATCATTCAAATAAAACCCCACACAGCCACATTCGGTCGCCCAGCTCGAAGGTTTCGCCCACTGAGAGGTCTTCATCTGATACACTTGTTCCTATTGCAGATACTATACTGACTATCCCATCAGCAGGAAATTCGCAGACAAAAGAGACACCAGTTGGACTAAAATCACCCTTGCAAAATGGCCACAGGTCAAGCCGTCCAGTAATGATAACTCAACCTGAAAACCGTCCAATAATGATAAATCATTCAAATAAAACCCCACACAGCCACATTCGGTCACACAGCTCGAAGGTTTCGCCCACTGAGAGGTCTTCATCTGATACCGTTGTCCCTATTGCAGATATTATCCTGACTATCCCATCAGCAGGAAATTTGCAGACAAAAGAAGCACGGGTTGGGCTAAAATCAACCTCGCAAAATGGTCAACGGACAAACGCCAAGAAAGTGTCAGTGAAAGTTCCACACAGGAATATCGCGGGTCACCATTCGAGAAAGACGATCAGCGTTGTTCCCAATGTCAGTACTCGATCCACCTCAATTGTCCACCCTCCTTTTAATATAGAATCAGTGTCCAACTTGAAATATCCAAGACCCGCTGAGATAGATAGCAGATTAGGCGATCGCGTATTCAGTAAAGGAATACCATCCCCCAAAAATCGTGGTCCGAATAGTCAGAAGTCAAGTGTTTCAAGCGGAAACCATGTGGTTAACGAAAGAATGGATACTTTTAACACGGTTTTTGCATCTAGAAAATCTATTCGAGTTGACCAAGCTGCCACCGAACATTGGCATCAGTCCGCCTCACTAACTCATTTTAATCAAAATTCAAAAACAGATCACACAAGGTGGGAACAGCATACGTCTCATATTTCACCAGGGATCAAAGAGCCGAAATCGGGCTCTATTCGTTTGCCTTCTTTCAATGAAGGTTTCGGAATAGATCATCTAAAGTTAGTTCCCGCCATAGAATCCACTGGAAACAACCGACCTTCCCCCGGCAGGTCAGTCCACAGAATAAAGGCATCTGATTCGAATAATAATAGGCGAATCTTTTCACCGCATAGCGCTAACGAAAGGCAGAAAGCCGACCGGGCTAATTCGCGACCGAACGATGTTGCAGTGCAAAGGCCGACACTCTTCAAGCCGCACTTGAATCACGTTTTACAACAGAGCAAAGTCGAACACAGACCGTTTGAGCCGACTTCGATAAAGGAGCTTTCGGGTTCTGTTAATTCTCCAAGACTCGAAGAACCAGTAAGCGGTTTAAAGACCAGTAAGAACGACAACCTGCCCGATTTAGGGGTCAGTAACTTCCGGCCCGCGCTGTCCCAGGTAACCACAGTGAAACCAATGCCGACAGAAATTTTTGAAAAAGTTGAAGGTACGTTACACTACCTCTGTAAAAAGTTGAAGGTACGTTACACTACCTCTGTTCCATAATAGTTGTTACATCTGTACATTTTTGTAATCATCTGTATATACATCTGCATTATATTGCATTTTTAATTATCTACAACTACATTTGCATAATAAAGAGCGTTTCATTAAGAGGGATTATATATAAAGGTGTTCCATTAAGACGGATCAAAGTCAGTAGTAAATAAATCAGTGTTATTGGTGAAAATTTATTTATTTCTCTATTGGATCATGTTATTTAAGTAATTGGCAATTATGTGTGAAAAATAATATCACCAAAATATCTGCCAAATCTGAAAGAAAAAGAAAAAAATCATTAGTTGTTTAAACTTAATTCACATTTAAGATCGGTCCAAGTTATTGGAACACTCTTTATATCATCGGCATATTTTTATTATTTGCATAATATTATTTTGAATATTTTATTATTTGCATATTCATTTGCATGATACTGGACTTGAACGTTTTCATTATTTTCATATACATTTGCATATTTTTTTTATTATTTGCATATACATTTGCATAATAAAAGATAATAAAGAAAAGGTATCTGTGAAGAAGGCAATGGGAAACCACTCCACTATCTTTCCCAGGAAGTCATGGCAATTCACAGAAAATAAAGAAAAGGAATCTGTGGAGAGCCATGATCGTCTATATCGTTACGAGACATGGCAATTCAGAGATAATAATGAAAAGGAATCTGTGGAGAGCCATGGTTGCCTACATCTTGATAAAACATGATAATTTACAGATTAGAAAAAAAAAAGAATTTGTGGAGAGCCATGACTGTATACATACTAAAGGATGAAGGAAAACTGAAGTCATAACCACGTGGAAGTCAAAAGGGAAACCACTTCATTATCTTTCCCAAGAATACATGGTAATTCATATATAATAAGCAATCTTGTAGAGAAACATGTCCGCCAACGTACTTGAAGGACAATGTATAAAAACTATTGATAAAATAAAAAAAAAAACAGTGACTTTATGATAATGACATAAACATTGGGACCTAATTGCAATTGTTGCTTCTTTACAGGTTGCCTTTTAACTCCTTATGAACAAGATGAAAGATATTACTTGGAAGAAGTTCTCGGTTTCACCTATGTTATTCGCCCTTGCCCAATTGGTACGGTTTTTCGGATGAGGATATGCACCTGTACAGCTCCCGAAAATGGCATACAAGATTCTTCTTTAAGCAAGTATTTCAACTGATTTATTTGAAAGTAAATCTTTATGCAAATTACAGATATCATGTGCTGGATTTATAAAATAACTTTACTTATTAATTTATTCAGCATTTATTAGGTGCCTTTACTTATTAATTTATTCAGCATTTATTAGGTGCTTTTACTTATTAATTTATTCAGCATTTATTAGGTACTTTTACTTATTCATTTATTCAGCATTTATTAGGTGCCTTAACTTATCCATTTACTCAGGATTTAATAACTGCCTTAATTTATTCATTTACTCGGGATTTAATAAATGTCTTAATTTATTAATTTATTCAGGATTTATTAGATGCCTTATTTATTTATTCAGAATTTAATAAATGCCTTAATTTATTAATTTATTCAGGATTTAATAAACGTCTTAATTTATTAATCTATTCAGGATTTATTAGATGCCTTATTCATTTATTCAGAATTTAATTAATGCCTGAATTTATTAATTTATTCAGGATTTATTAGATCCCTTAACTTATTCATTTATTCAGGATTTGATAAATGCCTTAATTTATTCATTATTCAGGATTTAAAAATGCATCAATTTATTAATTTATTCAGGATTTATTAGATGTCCTATTCATTTATTCAGGATTTAATAAATGTCTTAACTTAATCAGGATTTATTAAACGCCTTAATTTTTTCAAAATTTAGTAGTTTACACTTCGGATTTAAGGTTATTTCTTAAAACAAAACCGGAAGATTCCACTGGGCATTCATAAATTTGGCTTGTTCGCCGTAATTTTACTGGCATCGTCATGTTTTGTTTTCGGTCAGGTGATTGGCACGTGACAATTTTTCAACACATTTTGTAGTCTGTTTGAGCCAGATAAGCTGAAGTGTAATTTTCTTAATTTCCCTTTTTCTTTCATTTCTTTTTTCTCTCTCTTTTTTTTTTTAATCCCAGAATGCAACATCGAATTTCAATTGGATTTTGAATACGACCTCAAAGATTCCTCAGGCAAAAATTTATTTTCCTCTTCGGAAAATGTCCACTTGGAACATTCGGCTGCCCGTTTCATTGGAAACAGCTACATTTCTGTCTGGCGATTCCAAGAAGCAGAATTCGGAGACAAAATATCAATTCGGCTGAATTTCAAGCAAGATGGCTTCCAATCAGAAGTGCAACAACTTGTGGGTAACTGTGTCATCGGCAGTAAACCATCTGTTAGTATAAGTATAGATAAACAAAGAGAAATGGTTATTTACAGCATAATGACCTACACAGATTTCAAAATCATCGAGGCTCCATACAACGTAAGTTTGTATTCAGATTGTATTTTATTCAAATCATTATATTAATTGACAATGTCCGGAGGTTGGTAAACAAGAATTTTACGTATGAAAGATTTCGTTTCGTTATATATTAGATTATACAGCAATCACATAACAGCACATAAAAGAAATCCGATCCTGACAAGGAGTTTTATATTATACGTGATCCGATCAAAAATTATCGGGACAGTTGCTATGGCAATGGAGCTTATGTGCGCAGAGTGAAACCGCTTGGCACTGATTGACCTTTGAACTCTGTTATATATACACATTAAGTTTTAACTTTCCAGCTCACTTCCGTTGTTTATAGCAGTGATTGGAAGAAAAATGTGTATAATAATTTTAATGAATTTTTAGCTCGATATTTTTTACACACTAAAAAAAGGAATAGCTATGACTGGAATATTCACTTGTCTTGATTATTGCGCACGCAATTAAGTTCTCTTGCGCAGTAATTGAGAGAAGTTGAGACGAGTAAGATCAGTAAAAAAAAATGCCGTTAACTACGTTCTTTTGTGCTTAGCTTTCCGCAGCAAATGTATGCAAACAACGCCAGTAATGGCTGCCGCGACGCGAATGAATCCGAACTTTTACTGTCGATAACTCCAAAACGGTAGATTTTATCAAATTTATCAAGTCATTTTCGAATGAAGCATATACATTTACATCTCAATGTACGGATTCAGGAAATTTTTAATGCAAATTGAGCGAGGGTCCTAATCTGCAAATTAATCCTAAAAAGTGCAAAAATATATTTTATTAACACTTAAATCTCTATGAATTATATGTTTTCATTTAATATTTTTACGATTCAAGGCATAGTACAATAAAACTCTTCTATACTCGATATGTTTGGTATTGAGGGTACTGTTCTGATTCGAGGAAGAAAAGGCTGCTGTGGCAAGCTTAAAATTTATTAAGTTTTAGAGTTTAGGATACAAAAAGTACTTTGTAACGTTGATTCATTTATATTTGAAGTATAGATTGAATACAAAAATCTACAAAAAATTTTAGACAACCAATAGTGATGAAAATATCTGTGCTAAACAAATATTGTAATTTGTGCAAAACTAAAGCATTTTATGAAATGTTAAAAAATTTATGAAATATCTTATTCAAAAACAATTAAAATCTGTAAAGGAAGTTAAAAATAAGGATATTCAGTACAACTTCTCTAAACCGAACATGCGAGATGTTTGGTATCGAGGCTACTGATCTGATTCAAGGAAGAAAAGGCGACATATTTATGTTAATACAAAAGTTTGGATCTGAAGATTAGTCCAAATTTGAGGAAGTCTAATCCAAGCAAGTCTAGATTATTAGTCAAGCAAGTCTAGATTATTAGTCAAGCAAGTCTAGATTATGCTATATTTAGATTTGGGGAGTTCTACTGTATTTAGATTTGGGGAGTTCTACTGATCTTGCGACGAAGATGAGTATTTGAAATTTTGCTATTTCAAATCTTTATGTATCATGTCTCTACAGCACGTAGGCGATAATGGCTCTCCACAACGTCCTGTCCCTTGTAACTCTTAATAAATTTTGTCTGTTATTTCTCTTAATCTCTGTTTCACCATCCATTTGTTCAAACTCCCTAAGTATGTTACACATTGACTGCAAGAGAAACAGGAAAACAATCTGTCCTGTGAGTATCTGATTCTCTAAGCTTTCATTCCTCATTATGTGCCCTAGAAATTTCAAATGTGTCTTCCAGATGTTAAGTATAAGTTTCCTTTCTGTTTCCATTTTCTCTAAAACTTTTGTTGCTCACATGTTTGGACCATGGTATACTTAGAATCCTTCTGTAGAACCACATTTCTAAACCGAACATCCGAGATGTTTGGTATTGAGGGTACTGTTCTGATTCGAGAAAGAAAAGGTTTCATATTTATGTCAATACAAGAAGATGAGTCCAAATTCGAGGAAGTTTAATTCAAGAAAGTCTGGATTATATGTTCAGATTAGGGGAGTTCTACTCTATTTAAGTATTCAGGGGATAAGTTTTTTTAAAATTATTTACATTCTCCAGGGGCATTAAAAAGCATATTTTCTTTTTCTTATGCCTTTTCTAAAAATAAAAAAAGACTAAGGTAAATGACATAAAATAACAATCAAAAACAGGCCCGATCAAAAAGTGTCGAGACGAGACTGTTGCTATGGTAACAGAACTAAAGTACGTAGAGTGAAGCCCCTTGGCACAGATAGACCTTCAACTCTGTCACACATACACATTAAGTTATAACGTTCCCGTTCACTTCCGTTGTTAATAGCAGTGATTGGAAGGAAAATGAGTAGCGTGTGGTCGTCTCACCGCACCACAGAGCTTCCATATGTGACCATGGCTTGTGCAGCAGTTTTTGGCCAAGAACAACATTCCTTCTAGGTTATGCAAAAGGTCGATTTCTCAAAAG